ATCGTCCAATGACCCTTTGAGTCGCTTCGTAAAGACAGACTCCAGATCCGATAGTTTGGCAGCGCCCTTGGTGTTACAAGCAGCGAAAACGTCTACATATTTACACAGTGAGACATTGAATTGCATACATACCAAATATGATTTTATAAACTCCCGACTGACCGAGGCTGTCTTTTAGCTTTCTCCCTTTAAGCGGACGTGGAGACTAGTCTCGTCCTCAAAAGGCACATGGAAGATACGCTTAGCAAAGTTGTCTAAATTGTTTCCACCGAGGCAAGTGAGGAATGAGACCTAATGCCTTGTGCACTGATAAAGGGGACAGCTTACCTGTTGACTCCGTATTCCTCTGTCCACAAGTAAGGCATTCAACTGGTGGAATTCCGCTGTCGTCCTCACCGGCCTTTGTAGCGGATTTTTTGGCAGCGGGATGGCCAAGTGACTGGCGCGCCTCCAATCCCCGTATGCGATCGTGTAGCCGACGACTACTGTCAATAGGCACGTCTAATTTTCCGGACATGTCCGCCATTTGTTGGATCAGCAGCGACATGTCCCTGTCCAAGTCTGCCAGCCGGTCGCTGGACAGCGGTTCGTGCAACTCCTTGGATAAGTCAGTTAAAAGAATTTTTATTACCCTCAACTGCGCTGTGGCTCCCGTGATGGTAGGGTGTCGTTGGAGTCATTCGCATCTTCATTGTTGTCGTTCATTCCCTAGGATTCAGAACAGCGTCGTGTAGTGTAACCTACACGCAAAGATATCCCTTCTCTGAAGTAGTACAGTGGTTCATTCAGGGCAGACCTACATCCACGCGAAGGATTTATGCGAGTTGGCTGGCTCATGCATAGAATAAATGTGGAAACAAGAAACAATTACCGTCACGGACGCACATAAAATCTATACTTGCTTGGCGTTTGTGCCGGATGGCGGCCGCGATGTGTGTCTGATTTGATTGGCTCTTTTCCACTTTTCTTTGAGGTTTCTGTACACCGCATCCAACTCGATATGCCGGCTAATGCGTGATTCATCTGAGTGCATTGCCTCGTGGAATTCTCGGCTTTGCGTGAAAGGGTATACAGCAACAATGCGAGCTTTGTCCAAAGCGAAGGTGTGCCCGGTGTCCACGGTAGGAATGGCTACTTGGGACAGATGGTCTCGCCTTGTTATTACCAACTGGTGTTTATGCGTGCGTGTTGAGATACATTTTCCAGTCTGACCACAATAAACGGCAGCACATGCGTCACACGGGGTCATGTAGACGGCCTCTTTCTTGTTCAGCTTGCTAACTCTATCCTTAGGATGTTATAGTTGAGAGCGCAAAGTAGTCGTAGGTTTATGCGCCACTCGAATTTGGTGTTTCATTAAGCGTCTTCCTACGATGGGAGACCTTCGCCCTTTGCGTGTCTTCGACGTACGCACAAATCGAATTCATTCGCAGATGCCTCGACAGACAAGTGTTACCGAAGAGCTTGTCCTACAAGCCGCCGGTGAACACAACACTTGCGAGACAATGGGTTATTCAACATCGCAGGCGAATGACTCGAGTACTCCTCCAGGACCGCCAGTTATCTTCAAAGTGCTTGGAGCTCGTTGGCGAGAACGAGGCAACACTCCTCAGCCAAGTGCTCGGTCAACAAGCAAGAGAACTAAGCTCCAGACGTGATAGGAAGTTGATGGACAAATTCCAGAAATTAAGCTAAGTTGCACAAGATGACGACTATGTACTGGTCCACAATCTATCCTCCAAAGAATTTGATCCGAAGCAGATTCAGGTGCTGAAGCACGCTGCCGGATTCAGCATTTCGAACGCCGACCTGGCTAATCTCGTGGGCATGATCGAATCGGTTCTAAAACACTCCCAAGAGCCAGCCGAGACGCAACACCTCTTTCGACAACAAGTCGCCTCTCTGGCTGTAACGCACAAACCACTATTGTTCACGATTTTCCTTGCTGTTTAAAATCCTAGTCAGTGCGCGTTGTGGACCAGGTGGTGTAGTGGTACGCCTAGGCGCGGGCTTTCGTCATGCCTGCCATCTGCGCTCTCTCCCCCCTCCGGTCTGGCCCATGGTTTGATACCGAGCCAGATGAGTGGGGGCGGAGCGTGTGGTGGATGCTGTGCAAGCCGCCGTCCTTACTCTTGCCCTGCTGTGGAGCACACGGTGAACATCTTCGGAAACAATGGTCGGACTGTCATTTTACGGCTTCCCAGCCTCGATATATTTAGTACCTTTAAAGATGCTTAATGCAGTAGTGTGTCCAAAAATACCCATATTACTCCATTTACGCAACTATCTGTGGTTTATTTATTGTTATTTCCACTGTCAATTGTCTGTGCTTTTGGAGTTCTCCCACTGTATATAGTGCATATTCTGTGTTCGAAAACTATTGTACTAGCGCTTATTCACGGCCCCTTCATTGTTACCTGTTTTGTTTGCTTGCCACTACCCTCCATTATTTAACAGGCAGCTTGTTTGCAGGCTCACTATCATTCAGTTCTTCGGAATACTGTCCATGACCTAACAGTCTCCCTATCCCATATCATTTGAGCGGCCTTGTGAATTCCGCAAATGCATTTGTGTTATTTTCTTCCATTTTCACCCCGATTTCCCATTAAAGCCCTACTGCATATACTACGGAAATTTTGAAACCCTGTCTGCGGAACTCATTTATCGACGGTTTGAACAGTCCCAGCCACCAGGCCCACTTTAATGAGCAAAAATGTGTTCGCCGTACTTTTAAATGCGGGCAGTTTTAGCCAGTGATTTGGGACGTTCGTTTTCGTTTCCTGTAGATTATTGTTCTTCGTTTGATAGAGAAATCGGTTTTGGTTTAACTGCAAATAGCGTGTTTGTTCTATATGGAACACTTCAAAATATACATCACTTTACTGCAAATAGCCAAGGCTTTTTGCTCCCGGCCTTATTATTTGACGCGGCGATCTTCACTTTTTTCTCAGTTCTGCGTGCAATGGATACAAAAAGCCGCGAGACTCTCCTTCGCACTGATTTAAACGTAAGTTAGCGCCTCATGTCATCTGGAACCTGAATGACTCCCGCTTTACAGGTTATCCTTCGGACTGTTGTTCGTTCACACGTTCCGGACAACCTCACAGACACACTAAATGATCTCGTAAATCGTTGTTTTCTCCGGGTATGTCATATTTTTATTGCCCTGGCCTAACCTGTCCGTTCCCCAATCAGACCTGCTCGGCAGTATGCAAACGCTATTGTGGACTTTGTTTAATTGTGGCCTCACTCAAATGGGCTATTCCGGCTCCCTTCGACGTTTTTCTCACGTTGGTCGCCCAGGATGCCTGCGAGAGTGGTAGTACAATTGCCTCCCTCCTTCCAAAACTGACCCTCTCCAACCCAGACTTCCGGTTGGGCATTTTGGGTGGCATGATAGAGGCTCGAAATCATCCAATGCTGTCGGCCACCCTCAAAGCCAGCCTGTGCCAGCCAGAGATCCGACCAGTGCTGATTCGCAGTGTAGAACACTTTCTGCGCCACGCATCCGCACCCGCTGTAACTGCGGAGACCATTTACCTCCTGACCAAATGTATAGAGAGTGTGTCAACGGACGGGCATGGCGAGGTTCGTTCCGCTTTACGCCTGCAATTTTCCGTTTTTCGTCTTGAGGCGACAAAGGCATTAAACGTTACATGGCATTCGTCGATCTATCCTTGTTGCAGAGCTTAATAAAGCCGGCCCCCTAAAAGTATTGACTGTGATAAAATGGCAATATGTTATTACCGACAAAGACAAGGAAGACTGGGCAACGGGTTCGTGACCCAGTGGTTAGAGGCGTGGACTTCTAGCTAACGGGTCGCGAGGTCGAGCCTCGGGTGTTCCACACATCGGGGTTGAGTATGACTGGTTGACGACGGCTAATAAGCCAGAAATGGCCATTTCCAGTCTCCCTTGTCTTTGTCGGTAATAACACACTGCCTATATCATGCGCCACTGTGCGCTGCTGGTTGGTCTCTGGAGAGAGCCCGTAAGGCACAACGGAACGAGTGAGTTCCGTAAGAACGATCGGTGTGCTAAAATCGGCAATAATGTTGCTATGGTTTTACTTAATGAATTACTACTAGATACGCTTTATTGTTGTGACTTGCTTCCTTCGGAAATTTTCACTATGTGGTGGGAGTTACAAATCAATCTCTATTTGTCTATGCTTCACAGGAACCTTGTGCCATCGGTTAGAAAGCTCTCACTTCGGGGCTGGTTTTTCACACTAGGACTACGTTGCGTTATGTGGCATGTTGCAGCGCCTGCCCAGTCCGTAGATTCCGCTTGATAACGATCATGATGGCCGTTGTTTCAGCACACAGTGGTGCAAACTTTGTCGTCCATTTAATGTAAAATTAAATAAAATCTATCTACCCCGCGACTTCCCAATCTCTCATTTGAATACCGCCAAATTTGATGCCAACTTCTCGTAGTGACGGATTCATCCACTTTGTATCCCAGTCCATGGTAATCCATGATGGCCATCTTCATCGGAGTATTTTTGTGGCGAGGACGGGTTTCGGTGACCTGGGTCAAGATGGAATTCGAAGTGTTCGACGGGCATTTCCAAGGTCCTGAATGTATGTTGAAGAAGAAGGTAGGCAGGCGTGTTGTCATTGGTTACTGGGCAATTACTGTGAAGAGACGTCGAGCAGGCGAGGCAAATCCAGGGATACAGTTGCTGTAGACGGCGAACGATAAGGACACTTTTTGAGAGCGGCGTGCAAGTATTCAGGCCTAGCATCTGCTATATCAGACGCCCCATCCATGGCTTCCTATGTTGTAGCCAAACACGTTTCAGGGGTAGCAAGTGAGCCGCCGTGACTTGCTCGTTGTTGCATCGAGTTCTGTGAGGTGAACTCACGCAATCCTAAAGTTGGAGTGTTTCTGTCATGCGATTACGTTCGCGAATCTAGATAAGACTTGATTTGCAACGCACTCACATTCTAGTTCCCTCGAGGGTAAGCCATACAGTCTTAAATCAACCGAACAAGTTAGCGTCCTCTTTGACATGAAGTTTCCCCATGTCTCTATAACAGGAATTTACGAAAGGTAAAAAGTTGCCCCTAGAAGAAGGTCGACTACTTCCAAAATTTGCGCACTTCCAATCTAGCTTTAATTTTCTCTCCCGTTGTCCCATTTTTTCTTTCAACGCTGCAGTTTAGTGAGGCGGAAGGGGTGACGCTCAAAAGTGCCGTGCTGTGTGCCCTGGCTCACTCTGATGACGCCGAACAGCCTGTGCTGGATCTCGTCTCTCATCTCTTTGACAAAATCTTCGCGCTGGTTCTTGACAATAGACGTGCTCCCAACCCTTTCTCTCATTGGCTGCATACGAGCGTTGTACAGGAGACTCTCCTCGGCTTCCCTAACTGTCTCCATGAGGCGGTCATTCTCACAAAGGGATCTCTGCGTTTGCTGAAGTGCCTCTTGAAACACGTGAACCTCACTTGGGTACTCATTGCCATCTCTCTTCCGTGTTTCCTTGCCCTCCCTCTCCTCTTGCTGTCATTATTATTACTGAGATTCTCTTGGCCCTCTCCGTTTACTGTAGATCTTCTGCCCATTCCGTCTACTTGCCGGCCCTTATCGCCCATCTTTCCCTCATAAAATCTTGACTTTATTACCTTGTTCATTTTGATTCTTCCTTTCTCGCATCCCATCTTTCTTATTGTCCAGCTTCTGGAACAATCGCCACATCTCATGACGAGTTTAATTCTGGCTTTTGCCTGGAATTACACGGCCGCCTATGCAGGGGACCTTGTGAATTGCATACTGACTCGCCGGTACGTTACCCTTTTTCCACATAAACCTGAAAGAGCCCCGTTTGGCCCTCTTCATTCCGCGTGCTCTTTGAGCGTCTTGCGTACGAGACATAGTTCAGCGCGTAAAGTTTGATCTAATGGTGTCGGCAATGGAAGTGAGGGCAAACAGCGAATGCGAATTGACTCGAAAGCGGTATTCTCCACGTCGGATAAAGTTATTCGCCGTTAGTGCCTCTATAGCTAACATATTGTTGAGGGTCTTTTTCTACTATCTCCAGTTTTCGTAAACATCGTTGCCACTATCTGCCAGCTTGGAACATGGTTATGAGTTTAGTACACATTTGAATTTTCGGACAATAAATTCGGTCATCCTTCAACAGATTAACAGGCCTTACGGCTATCTTCAGGGCACGCCGAATCCACGTCCGGAATAATCCTTTTGCCCCAAATCCCGCTCAGTTACGACATGTTATCACAGAAAAGCAGCCGAACGCAAAAGTAACCCATCTGTTACAAGTAACAAGGACCTCTGCCGTCGCATGCGCGCTTTAGTAACATGTGAGCGACAGTCTCAGTCGACCATGCCAACCGCCGTCTCAAGTAGGGCGAACTGGCGACTCGCATGAGAACTTTCCTCTTGAGGAGGAGACCCGTTTTACATCGACTGCAATCCATGTTCCCACTCGCCATATTCCAATGAGAAAACAAGGTCAATAAGACCGGATATGGGAGGGAATGGCAATGTTAAGCAGGTCGTTTTCATGTGCTACACATGACCCCGTTTCTAAATCCGTGCGTAGAAGTCCTTTCTGAGAGGTTTCCCAGCCCATGCGAGGAAAGAACACAGTAAATGCCACATCGAGAAGGAACCGCTTTACTCGGGCCCTCTTTTTACAGGATAGCTGAACTATCTAATCGGCAGTCAGTCTTCCAAGACACGACTTTTAGCACGCCACCGTTTGGAAGCGCGTCGGGCTATGGTAAGGGTCGGACTGATAAGCCATAAGGATGTACTTAAGAGGCATGTCTCGCTCCCTTCTGTCGTGCACTCACAGCCTGTCTGACCCGACTGGAGATGCGTTTGGGCGCGGTGGTTGACCTGCCACACGCACATACGGCAGTGCAGCCCGTCAAACTGCTGCCATGAGCCACTGTAGCACTATTGTTACTCCGGCACAACCACTGTTAGGGTGGAGGGTGGGGGGAGGCAATGTTTGCGGAGCACTACTGATTAGGTAGTTGGTCTATAAATCTGACATTGGTTTTTCGTCTTCACTAGCCCCCCAATCACCTTCGTCGCTGCCTTGGAGGCCTTCCTTCTCTTCGGAGAACTAGACTGCCCGCAAAGCCAGCAGCTACGTCATCTAGATGAGACGCGCATGGATGTTGTCACTGTAGGTACAAACTTTGCGATGTATCCTGTCCCGTTTCACTGTCTTTCGACTTGCATTTTTACAGCCTGCTATCCCGTCCCACCCATCTAGAAATTGCGGATACAGAACTTCTTGGTGCACTGCGCAAAGCCCGCCCTTATTTGCTTGCCGTCCGGGGGTTCTGATGGAACGTTTGGCGAGGTCTTGGCTCTCAAACTTGCTAAAGCACTCATGGAACACTCCTCATCCACTCCGGAGTCCTTGGTCGAATGCAGATTGATGGTGTGGTCGGCGTTATTGCCACTTCTTCCTGAATCGGTGCTGACTAGGCTGTTTAACGAGGTACATTACACAAGTCTCTCTACTTACATGTAGCAAGTAGACGTGTACGATATAATTGTGTAATTGTTTTGCAGTACTCCGAAGTTGTACTTATGGGCCTCAACCATTCAAACGACCTTATTCGTGCCAAAGCCTGCGCTGCAGTCTGCGTCATCGCATCGAAGCTGCCCTCTCTGCACATTTCCTGTGATACGTCCCTACCCCTCCGTCAACTGGCTTTCATTGGACTGACTAGTCTGCTTTCCTCACCCGATCCGACCGCACGCAACCTCGTGATTCATGGGTTTGTCGAAATGTCCCAGTGCGCTCGTAACAGGTGTGCCACTCTAAGAGGTCACACCAAAGGGATATCACAGGATGCTGCTGAGGGTTTTTGTGTTGTGGGTTATCCAGACGTGCAAAGACGGTTCTTTGATCTGAAGCCTGTTATGGACTCAAAGTCTCCAGCCGATGCTGACCTCTGTCCACTGAAGGACTTGGGTATGAGGCGTACCAACTTCTTCCTGTATTTTTTTACTGTTCCACCAACAAAAATTAGCTTTTACAGAGTTGTTGGCCTTTGTTTGTTGGAAAATAGTGCGAAAGGAATGCGTCTTTCTCAGTCTTGAGTAGCTGGCGATGTGTTGCGAGCCCCTTCCTGTTTCTCGCATGCAATACCAAATTCTTCCACTTATATTTTTTATTTTTTAATACTCCACCCTTGGTAACCTTCGGCGAGTTCTCCGATGAATCATGTTAACTGCTGACAGTAAGCTTGTTATTGGGCCTTAGATGCAGGTGTGCACTATGAACTAAGCGCCCTTCTAACTGGACAGCCTTCGCAGCCATACCAAAACAAACTCAAAGAGGGACCACCTGTTTCCTTATAATGCAGTAGATAGACGAGAGCTCGTTATCGGGGGTGCATAAGGTTCATTGATGAGCATATTTACCTGGTCACATTTCCTTTCCTGTAGATGATCTCCTCCGCTTTGCCTCCTTGCTGTGGTTTCGCCGTGACAGTCGTATTTCCCCCACCTTTCCAAAACAACCCTCCGTAGTGGGCGGCGACTGCGTCGATGGGCATACGACTAAGTTCATCAGCGAACTCCTGAGCACCCCTCTCCTTCCACCTGGCATGCCCTACCAACGCCAGAAGACCCTGATCACCCTTCTACGTCACATGTTTGATTTGTTCTACTTTTGGAAGCCGGGCCAGCAACAACGATTAACGGCATCCGCAAGGAGCATCAAAAAGTCTGGTTTTGAACCCTGTTAGTCCGCCTGTTTTCCCCGTGCATTCGTTAATACCTTGCTAGTCTCTACCTTTTCATGCTGCTATCAGCGCGTACGTTGTGGGGAGCCTGAGATCACTGTTTCTCTAGCCAAAAGTTCTATCTACACAAAATAAAAGCCTATATAACTCCTTGCAAAATTCCTAAAGTTCTCTTTGTGGTGTCTGATCGCACCCAGGACAATTCAGCACTAGTACTTGTAGCAGTTAACGCCAATGCTGATTTTGCCGTACGGCTCCAGAGTTCTCGGTGTCACGAACCAGCAGAGTCTTTGCCTTATAATCGACGGCATAGACCCCAGCAATTGTCTGTTGGTAGTTGCATTTCAGAGCACCGAGTACTGTCCGATCGAACATTTTCCGCATATCTGATTTAGGCCCGCACCACCATCACCACTCCTTCAGTTAACTACCGCGCAAGGAAGTGCTGCTTTGAGCAAGGATTCGGAGACACAACCTTCCCGTTAAACCTCCATTCGGGTAGGCGGATTGCATGACCGAAGCATTTGAGACGTCTACTTCTTACCGCGGCGGCGGCGGCGGCGGCGGCGGCGGCGGCGGCGGCGGCGGCAGGCGTTCCCGATTGGCCGCAGAATTTAAAGTCTGGAACGCTGTTCATGGACGAGGGTCATAGAATTCTCCGATAGCACCAGTTGTCATTTTAAGACAGCAATGCGTGAATGTCGCGCTTTGCAATCGTAAGACTGGACGATGTTGACTATGGCTTCCTACAATAAGACCTTTGTTGTCGGGCTGGACCTCGCGGCAATAATAAAAACACTTCCAAAAGCCACAGAAGATTTTATTGGCAAGTTTCCCATGGTGATTTACCTCCGTCTGACGCCGGCCAGTTATTTATACAAAAAAGAGTGCCAGAGGAAGGTATGAAGCCATCGAGCAACACCCTGACTCAGTCGGATTTGCGTCAGACTAAGGCCAGGCAGTGAGGGCAGCATGTGTTTTTCCGACAGCGTTTTAACGCCGGCAGATGTCGGATAAAACCAAGGTCCTCCCATGTCTGAGCGCTGTTGCTGTCTTCGAGCGCGCTTGTCGGTTCGCGTACACAACTGCAGCACCATAAGGGGGTCCACGAATGGTTGCTGTGATCCATAACTTGCAGAGGCATCCGATCACAATTTCCCTTCATGTCGGCTTCTTTCTTAAGGCTGCAGGGCACTGCTAGCTTAACCTCAACATTCTTAAAACAACTGTAGTGGGTAGACAGAATAAACCGGAAAACCATCCTCGCGATACACGCAGCGGTGTCACATCCTCTTTCGCAATCTTCTTTTCTATCCCAACAATGGCGTTTTTGTCCCCGCCCTGGCATACCTCTAAGCAACTTTATTTTTTTAATTCATAAGCCACTGCGAAGAGCTTGCAGGAACTCCTAAATGAACTGCTTTCACAGCGGGATTTCCCCAGTCCAAGGGATCTGTCAACCTGGTTACAGCTGATAGCTTCCCTGCCGAACGTGAACACTGAGGTGAGTGTCCTCCAAGTGCCTCCTTTTCCCCCTGCTCAGACTTGTGACGTCTTTAGCTGGCCCACATCTATTTGTCTGACAATGTCATTGCAGCTGTGTGCACCTCCCTACGGCTATTGGATTCAATGGAGACAAGGGTTTAAACGTTCCTAAATGGGCATTTCCTTTTTTGGCTGCCCTGTCAGTGGCGCGTATGGAATATCTAAAAACGGGCAGTCATCTGGATGGATTAATAGCCACCACAACAATCGCACCGCCAACGGGGGGGGACTCTAGCCCGCTCTCCTAGGACTCCTGGTGATTCAGAGACGAAACACTTAAAGCTGGCAATTCTTTCAGTCCGGTGGATCTGGGGTGTCAAAATGCTCCATGCTCTGGCCGTTTCAATGACCACTACCCTCACGTATTCAAATATGCGTGACCTTATGTGCTGTTAGTTTTTAGCATCGTTTGAGGGGCAAGAAACACGCACCTGTAAGCCATGACTATGAAAAAGTGCAGACTGCATGTTGTCCCTGGTGTGAAACATCTGCCCTGGGCAATGCGACCCTTTCTGTTATGTTAGCCTCAAACGTGCATCAGCATTGTTTATTTTGTCCAGGATATTTTAATAAATCCTTAATTTTTCCTCGATAAATTCTTCTCAAATCAATGCATCTGCTTGGTTACGAGGTCAAATAAAGCATGTGGATAATTAGACATATCGAGTGCTGTTCATATTTTCACGCAAAGGGGAGTATAATAAGGAGCGACCAGGGTTCGGGTATTGTTCCCGACCAAAACCATTCTGCACGGAGAAGGATAAGGTGTCAGTTAAAACCAACTCTGTGTGTGCATTTACTCCTTTAAATGCTTCTGTGGATCTGATTATGTTGGACGTAGGAGTACAAAGAATACGTGAACACCTTTCAGTATGACAGAGAAGGGACGAAATTAGGAGCGAAAATCGCACCATTATCGTGCATATTGTGGAGTCAGGGCATCACGTGGACCCCGATGAAGTCTTCTGTGTGATTTGTAAGGCTCCACCGAATTGCCCAAAACTATTGGGGCAACGTCTACTAGCAACATCAGAAGCGAACGTAATCAGGCTACGCAAGCCGGCCTTGTGCACAAAGAAAACTCCCGTGTAGGCCCCTCACAGTGATCAAAAGGCAGTTAGCCTGTTAACTGCATGCTGTCTTTCGCGCCTCTTCCCTTCCCGGCGCTGCTTATCCCAGTCTTCTTTTACCCACACTACCCATTTTGCCGGGCACGATGGTTCTAATTGCCTGTAATTATCCTCTCATATTCTTCCTATATTTACTCGAAAAGATGGACCCAACTCGATTTCTCTACGTGCTCCGTGTTTTACCTACCCTCGTAACCATATAAACGCACCGACATGGTGAAAATTCGTTGGAAGTTTGGTGGCCAAATAATAACCTAAAGCCTTGCCTTCTCAACAGTTGTATACAGTTTTACAGAATTGTCTTGAGGCCTTCCTCACTTGAAGTTTTGTGATGGTTTGGTGCCGACGGCAAAAACTAAACGAGACGCCCATCTTATGCAGCGCATCTCTGCCATTCAGCGCATCCTTCGTTTTCCACTCTCTAGGTTCAGGCGGAAATTCTGTCGATATTCGACTCGCATTGGCCCAGAGATGTCAACCTACTGTCAGGCTTTATGGCGGATAAGCTGGTAGCACTGGCTGAATGCTGGTGCGATTTTCACGTCAATGAAGCCTACTCGGCTGGATCAATCCTATTTCAGTGGCTAATAACCAGGTTCGTCCGACATTGAATGATATGTGTTATCAGTTGAACCTAAGTAGCTTTCCTTTTTAAATCATGATTTGACGAGCCAGGCTTTGTCCGCCAAAGTCTTCAAAGCAAGTTTTGGAAGAAATTTGCTCAAAGCATCAAGTAAGGCCTTTTATTTATATTTCATATTTTAGTTCTTGTATCTAATGCACTTTTAAATGGTAACGCTTCCAGCACCTAAGTCATCAGTGCCGTATCCATAGCTAGAGCAATTTTTGTACCGTCTCTTCAGTCCTTCGATATTTACCGATTTTTGCAGCCAGCCATCTGCACCGACCATCCTGGCAGTGTTGCTGAAGAAAATACAAAACCTGTGCGCCTCCATTCCCATTCTCACGGACGACCCGGATCCGAAGGAGTCTTCTAGAATCATGCGTTGCATCCTGGATTTCCCCGGGCATGGTAATGTTTTTTTTAATTTAACCAGCCCTTGTGATACCTACTTTGTCTCCTAACCCAGCTCATTTCAGGCGGGAACTGTTGCATAATCTACTCGATGTACGCTTTCGGATTGAAGGTAGTGCGTTGTTTCGAAAAGTGGGCCATTATCGTGGTTGCTCATATGGTTACAGTATGCCGCATATTTTTGCGCATAAGCCAAGGCGTCCTTTTCTACAAGATACAGGAACTTTCTGTTTCCTCATACCCGACCTGCTATGGCTGATTTACCTTCTGATCATTCTAAGCTCACTAAAATTCCTTTGATGGTCTTTGTGTGTTAACTTTTCGGATTTTTTCATTAACCGAATTTCCGCTATTTTGCGATGGGCAATGCCTAAGGCATCTTTCCGGAAAGATGGAATATAAGTTATCACTTGAAGTAAAATCATGAGAGTGGGTTTAGTCATAAGTCAAAAGTTATTATTGCTAATGTCAGTTACGTGTCTACAAGGCTAATATCCGATTTCCACTCACGAACATTTCACCAAAACGAATTTCCTTATCTTCTTATGTAATTAATCGCCTTACGATTTTTCCAAGACATCACAGCCATATCCTAGGGCATTCGCTTGCTTTCGAGCACAATAGCGAACTCATAGAGTACGCTAATTCAATGGGGTTTTCCATCCATTGTGGGGGTTGAACTGGGATCTCAAACAGACTGAATGTGCAGTCACTTCCGTGACGACTTTATTTCAAAGGGCAAGCGTCCACCGACCTGATATACAAGGCGGTCTAACAATTGAATTCAAAGACTTGGCACGTGGCGTAGTCCGTCATCTTAATGGGCGTGCTTCTTATTATGACAGAAAATGATGTGAAGCTCACGCAGCCCGTCACACAGCAAATATGTCATAGTTTTGTTTGTTCCTTCATTTTCATAATATGACCCGACGCGGACTGTAGCGACAGCACTGTGGCAGTCTGGACAAACACGGACGTTAACGGCTGGGGGTGGTCGATATTTGGCAAAACCACCACCACCACCACCACCACCACCACCACCACCACCACCACCACCACCACCATACGACCTTCGTTTGAATTAAAGAACGCGCAACAGGTGGCGCTGAAATTAGACAGCTGATCATGGAGTCAGTGTGGCTATCCGCTCTAGATATTGCTTGGCATAGTATAGATACCACGTCGGATAAGGGATGCCTGTGCATTTTCAGTATCCCATAACAATAAGTACCTTGTCCTCGAGATCGTTCCGTTTTCTCATTACTGCCCAGGGACGCACGTTTTCGCTTCAGCCAACAACCTGTCAAGGCCGTAGACATTCCTCTAAATTTATTGAGCGAAAGCAATCTGCACTCTGGTGGGACCAGCAACAGTAACCAACCCTGTGGAATGTCGGAATTCGACGGACTTGGGTCGATTTCTTGTGAGTGGGTAAAGTTCTCTGTCAGAACTGCCTCTCGCGCTCAAATCATTGCATTGTGCAGAATCTTACCAAAGCCAAATGTCGGCTTGAGAATTTGCCACAAAATCAGATATCCACTCAATAAACCACCCAGTAATTTTGCTCCCTTCCACCCCCAGGTTTTCTGGCTGCCATCAACGCCGTCTGTTCATGGGTGGGGCAACCGCTGCCGCTGAACAAGTTTCCCTATTGTCTGACAGCGGATCCGGGCGTCAGAAAGGAGTTTTCGGCACGATTGCATCAACTGCAACAGGGTCTCCTTTCGCAGGGGTCTCATCTAGTTCACGCCTGTATTCACCTCTCCAATGCTTGTCTCGCCCTCATGGGCTGTTCGCCCCTCTTTGTAGACCTGACTTCGGATGTGGACCCCGGCCTGCCGTCTGATGGTATTCTTGTAGAAAACAGAGTTTTTACTCTTCTGCCTACTAGGCAATTTCTCATTTCATGGGGGTTGGGGACCCAAGTAGGTTAGCGAGTGAACGGTGTTTTTGCTTACCAGCTGTGCCTATCGTCTCAGGGCTTAGCTAACCGCACTTCCGGCCAAAAAGGACTCTACACTACTCTTCTGCGTTGGTCAAAAATTCAATGTGATTATTGTTTGAGTATGTCTTTGTAAAACATGCGGCTTTAGCTTCTAGGCTGTCATTTCACATGAGATATTTCTTCGTCCTTTACAACTTACGATTTTCGTATTTCCTATTTTGGCCATTAATCACATGAGACACTGGTCATGCTAATTCTCACTCACTTTGGTGTATTCCATGCCCCTGCAGTGCTATTACTTGCCAGACAGGTGTTTGACTGTAGCCCTTTTTCTCACAACGAAAGACACCCTTTAAGAGGCATATAGACATTTTTGTAGCACCGCGTCCTCGGGGCGGTTAGTTCAAAAAATATCCTCCTGCCGGGCTTAGAGCCGTCGAAGGGCAGGACAGCGTTTCGACCAAAAACTACCGAAAAACGTCTATATTAATAAATATAGTAGGCAGTTCTCCATAGTATACCTACCCCGGCCATATACTTTATCCTTACCGCGGCATATCCTTCGCTTAGCCTCCCTGTCATGCCCTGTAAACCTACTTTCATAAAGAAGCCTACACTAGGTGCGTTTTTCTCGCCAACACACACTATTCTTTTCCTAGATGCCTGAACAGTTAAGTCTTCTGCACCACAGCCGTAGACCTATAAATATGCCAGCGTACGCTTGGTCATTTTGCCCTGCAAATTTGCCCTGTTCTTCTCTGATAAAACTGGTACACTCTGTGAGTTGACCGCAGCATATCTCACAGATTCTACATAGCTGCCAAAACAATACCAATAGTATACTTGGAGAGTACTTCCACGTTGAAAGCCCGGTTGCCAATAACAATGAAAAGTAACACTTTTATTGAAACACCAGCTGTAAGCATCTGCACCCTGTCTCTCTCCTCCATCTGGTTCCTTGCAGCGGGTGCCTCCTCCTTCGAAGTTCTCGGGAAAACAATTTTGACCTTTGCCTCTAAAGCCAATCCGCAGTCACTTCGGGCAGACAACTCAGCAACCCCAGGGTAGGCATTATACGCGGTTTTTTGGGAAAAAAGACAGCTTCCATATCAGTGTCTTCTGTCTTACTGATCATTTTCTTTCTCCGACAAAGACTAAGGTTAGTGACCATGACTCTGTTACGGGGCCATAATCAGTTGTTTTGATTAAGCGTTTCCCACTCGATGGTTTCCCGTTTGTTCAACCTCATTACTCGGTGTTTTGTCATCAGTTAACCTCAGACTAAAATCCATGGATGGAGGTCTACAAAAACTCCTATAAACTATAAGAAGACACGACAGACCTAAAGAAGGGATAGTTGTGAATTGACTCTGTCGTATGTGGTACACCATCTTAGACGGAGTAGTAGAGGAGATATTAAGGGAGCCCGTTGGACTTGTCTGACTCGTCAAAGTTAAGCGAAAGTTGGCAACTGATTGACTAGACCTCGAATAATTATGAGGCCACAGCTCCATTCAGAATATGAGGCTTGACGTTGTCAGCAACCTCAGCTTATATCCACTAAATGTCGTTTCCTCAACCTCTGCGACTACCTTCTCCAGTCCAAACGGGTCTTTCACTCTACCTCCCTGCATATTTCACCGCGTTTTACCACCTCGTTTCTATCTTTTCTTGGGGTTAGGAGCTGAGCTCCGGCGCAGGATTCATCTCCTAACCAGCCGGTATGCATAACCTCCCTTGACGCCAGCTTACATCGTGCCACTCCTAGTGTTTTAGGATACCTGAGATTTTTTGATATATCAGCTGGAACCGTCAGTTTTGTTTTTTTTCTATTCTTTGTATATGCGAGAGCAGACCGGACGTACGGGCATTAACTGCCATTGAACTACTTCCCGAGTATCAACACATTCTGTCCTGGGCGTGGAAAACCCTCAAGGTACGTTGTTTCGTGTTTATGTCCAAACGTATAGCTATGTTGTCTGGAGATTTTTCCGGCTGGGCAAGAGAATATGAGCCCCCTCCTGTATTACAGGTGGCATTGCCCTTAATTCCAGGGGGGAGGGGGGGAAGAATTAGGTCTAGGACGACGTTTATGGTTAGTTAGGGTTAAGTCTGCGGGAGTAAGTGTTTGAGTTAGAACCAGGGCTATGAGGGCTAGAGTTACAGTTGAGATAGGAACCTCCTGGAATTTAGCATAAGGTCACCTGTGACACTGTGGGGGGGGGGGGCATATTCCCCTGTCTGACCATTCTGCCCTGAAGTGTCTGAGGACGCGTGGCTAAATAGCCAGGAGGCTTTTTTAAGCAAACCGTAATTGTAATTCATAGAGCCCCGCGGCTTGCTGTCTACTATTGCATGCATTAGTCTGGATTAAGTGACCCAATGATGATTTTCGTGGATGATGGGTTTCATCGTGGCTTCCGAATCCTTCATGGTGTGATACGCGCTTAAACTTATACTTCAGACTGGTTTTGCCAACTGGACCGTCTGTGCCTTCTCATTCGTCTCCCTGTTTACAGAGCTTTTTTGTTGAAGCCCCCTTCCCTTTCCGCTATATCCTTTCCCTTCACTCCCTCCCTTGTCGTCCTCAGGTCTTGACTTCTCACCACCGCTCTCGTTCAATATCGTTTTCCATAGATGTAGATACTGTTGGTGATGTAATTCTTAAATGTGATTTCGGCCATCCCGCAGCATAATCCAAGATATCTCAGTCATACCAGACCGACGGTTTTTGAATGCGCGTCCTCCCGACCGCTCGTCAAAGTGACAATCACCGATGCCGGGAGTCAGCAACATACGAGTGAATGACGCTCTTCATGCTCCTAGAATTTCGCCATTTCCCAGCCATGCCGGCAGATTTTCTTGTATTCTCGTGGATTGGCGCCGAATCCTGCGACCAGTAGAACCTGGGAAAAGGCGAAACTAGGGGCATCAACAGCGTCGTTCTCGGGCATGTTGTTGATTCCGGACATCGTATGGACCCCATTGAAGCTTTTTCGCGTGATTTATATGGTCCAATCGGGCTACCCAATAGTGTGTCTTTCGCTTTAAAGGAAAAGCTCGCAACTATTGGATTTTTAAGAGTGTGAACTTTCAAATCAAGCATCACCGTATTTGTCGGTCTACTAATACTGTTTATGAAGTATGCAACGTGGTCCATATCTATCGCCAAATTTTATGAACCGTATATGGCGCCTAGTGGTGTGTATGATTCTGCTTAGATAGAAAGTGTGTGGCTCATCGTTTGGGAGCCCTAAACACAAATGCAACAGCGGGTTGGATCCAAAAATATCTGGGGCTTAAAAACTTTCATAGAACTGGAAATTGCTGTTTCTTCCAGTGGCAAACTTGAAGACGAAACAAGCACAAGAAGGCTTTCTTATGTGCCTGTCGTCTGTAAAATGTTTGGATTTATAAGATTTTCGCAAATCAACACAAAATTCGTGCAACTTAGGATTATGCTGCACAATTACTAACATTAGAACCCCATCGATGTAATCCTTTCTACTCAAGGTCATATTTCAGAGCTTCAGTTAAGACGCGTTGTCCGCTGTTGTTCTCACACGGTCTCCTTGTAGAGGCAATACGGCATGTGTCGCTTTAAGATCAGGTCCGATTGCAGTCACGCAAGGCAAAGTGCATAAACCCGTCAGAAAGTGCCGATCAGTCGCTGTCCATTTAGACCTGGACCACTGTCGTACGCTTAGGCCTCGACGAAGTTGGTTGACCCACTGCGTGTTCTGTATCGATGAGGCATGCCTTAGAGCCTTTTACAAAAATTATTAGTCAGGGGAATAAGGCCCTTGTGCCAATGATCGCCTCTACTTCTCATCACTTATTGGTCTGTAGAGAATATCGTTCAGGCAACTTCGACAGAAGGTGTCGTGAATCTGCCGAGTCAAGTCTCAACCAACTTTCTTCGGCTTAATTTTCTTTATTTCATGGAATGAATTTAACTGCACACACTATGTCACTTCAGCTCTTTGTGCGCAAAAAATTGCCCTTGAATCACGTTTTCTATCAGTTTTACTGCTCGGTAAAGTGTGATCAGATTTAGCGCCTTCACGCCCTCCTTCGTTTGACTCGTTAAGCTCACATCGGACGTCCTCGTCACCTGGCTCTACCTCCGCGTTTGTGCGGTGCTTGCATCTACTGCGGATGATGGCTTTCCTGGTCCCGACGTCACCACCATCTTCGACGCTGAAACTCACCGGATCCTCCGACTTATTGGAAACCAGCTGATTCACATTCTGATTGTCTGCCGACATAAGGTATTTCTCCGAATTTTCACCCCTCATTTTATCCGTTGTTTTCTTTTCTTCCTACTGACGGTTTTTTTTCAGTGCGATTTATCCCAACAGAATATTTCCGCAACCCTCTCTCCGCCACATCCTGCTTTTAGAAAACATATCTAACATGGCCGATTGACCAGTGAAAAATCCATGCCATCGACGATCAATGTTCGTGATATGTTGTAGGGCAAAGAGAGAGAGCGTCAACCGGAGTACGTAGGCGCCTCAATTACAGGCATTCGTTGCTTTATCTGTTCGTCTCTTCCCGTACCAATCCTACCTCTTATCCGTCACTGCCATCGAATCAGTCAGACTGCGTATGTACGGGCCACCTTCTTTGCCCAATCACACCCCCTGCAACTGTTATAAAATTCTGCTTCTCAAAGCCACTGACTTTAAAACAGAGCCAAATGTTGGGTGAACTTGGCCCCTTCGTACCATTTGGAGGATTTTACCGACCTTTTTCCACAATTTTCACCATGCAACCGGGAAGAAATGCTTCTGACCTGCCTATTTTCAATACAGTGATTCCGAAGGTGTCAGCCCATCCGGCCGACGAACACACAAGAGCAACCGACGCACCCAATGCGCTAAACACTGTTGCTCTCCGGATTCTCTAATGCATTCTTATTGTCTTGACCGTGCAGCCCTCGGACGGACGTTTGTTTCAAATTCCAACATCTAATCTGCCGTGAGATGGCTTTATAGGTCGCTTTAGTTTACGGTACATTTAGAACTTTCAGGGACACCCCTAGTTTGTCCGCCCTACCTGCTGTTCTCTAGTTCCGGTACAGATTTTCCTGTCCAATCTTATGTAAATGTCCACGTTTGCACTCTTCAGATGCGCCCTATGAGGGGTTGTCGCGTAGTTCATTTTGCGATTATGCGGATGATTGCCTCTATGGTTGGAAAGGATTTCAACACTGAAGTCTCTTCTGCAGGCACTCCACTCAGATTGCTTTACTCCAGTATTTTTTTCTTTCTATAGGGCACTGTGGAATCTGTGTACCAAAGCCTACAGCAATACCTCACTGTGACGGCCAGACTGGACGGCTTCCTGCAGTCCTGCGATAGCAGCGAGGAAACCTCCTTACTCGCCGTGACTCGTGCCCTTTTGGCCAATCTTATCAGGCCAGAACAAGTTATTGACGTCTGCCTGGCTGCGCTGTCGGACTGCAAGTTCTCGGTGACACGTCGTGCTGCCGGCCTCTGGCCCGCCTCTAAAGCCGCTCTCCTAGCAGAACTCAGTGCCTCTCCCATCGAACAAGTTCGTTCTGACTGCTTTCCACACCTTTGCCATAAGTCTAACTGTCATTCACCCTATCCTACCCTTGGCATGTCATACGTCACCTTCAATCGATGGTAGACGCACTAGTGAGAGGATGCAAGCAGGGAGAAATGTTCTATCCCTCTGGCTTCTAAACACAGCACCGTTTGCATTTGCGACACAGCCTATGGTGAGCCAACTTCTCCCCGTCTCCCTATTTTCTTTCCAGCCTCTTCTCTCACGCTGGCTAAGCTCCATATTAAGCCTTGCAGTCGGCGGTGATGAGCGTGAGGAGGGTGTAACGTGGGACAGTGAGAACGATCCACCTCGGGCTCTGGCGCTGCACCTGCTTCGCGGCGTGTTTGGCGACGCACGACTAGGTCCATCTGCCTTCACTGTCGTTCCGGTGGTTTCCGGTGCCGCTGTTGACGATTTGCTCACCTTTTTAACCTGCCGCGTTGCTCTTCCGGGCTTTGCAGCTCCACAATGGACCATTTCTAACGGATCACTCCAACTCTTCGGTAGGCCTCTGATGTCAATGGAAGCACTGTTTTTGGTTATTCTTGTCATGCTGCACGCCTTCGGTCGTTGTTCTTATTTTTCGGCCGGAAGGTATGCCCGCTCGTAACGGTATTTCAGGCAGACGTAGTTGTTGTTCTTGAACGAAGAAAATCCCCTCTTCCAGTGCCATTGACACCAAAAGAAGTCCCATCAAAGTGCACGCGCCATGTTTCTTCAATAGTGCAAAACCCAGTTAATTTCCATTCTCTCAGACAACAGTTCTATGCGATGGCTGGCTAGATGGATGTCCTACTGTAGTTTCCGGGCTAGGAAATGGGCGTGTCCATATGTCTTTACAGCACACCAGTTTAGGGTTACAGGATTGTGGCGCGTCAAGTCTCATTATGTGGCGACCAGAATTCGTCAAGTTGCGAAATCTCTATGGCTTGCCACCGTTTTAGACCTCAAACAATATTTTTTTTCACCTCCGTTTTTGCCATGGTTCTGGTCATTCATTTTCGTCTCCCACCGTTGTTCCTTATTCCTCCCTGCCAGCGATCATTGTAATGCGCCTGGTTGGTTCAATATACAGTCGACCACCACCCAGTGTCATGGAGGTTTTCGGGCGCTACCCAACCCTCTTTGACACCTTTGTGACGGCATTTGAAGAAGTGAACTCCAACACGACATTATCCTGTCTTCCCTCCACAGCGAAACTTTTGATGCCGCTTCTGGGACTCCTCTGTCGTCTTTCACCCTCACCCTCATCCATTTTCCCGTAAGTCGATCGGCATTTGGTGCTTTGGTGGCTACATTTCTCCTTTACCAGCAAGTCATTAATTGGGCCTGGTTAACTCGGCTGGTTTGGGTTTTCCCTTACAGTTGACATTTTTCATACCTGTCGCCTTTAACCATGGGCACATTTTGTCAGAACCTGTTCTTTACTTTGCCAGGCTCTTGACTGACTGCCGGCCCCCTTACCGTCCGTATACTTTTTTCTCAAACTTCTTAAGCGAGAGTAAGCATCACTTATAAGACGGAGCCAGGCACGGCAACTTTCCCAGCCCGCCTTCAAAATTCCGCTCTCGTCGTTATTTTTTTGTTGTTATACATGTGCAGGGTGAGTGAACTCTGGACGCTTGTCGAGACGAGTGAACTTCGGTTTTTTAGCCGTCCCACACAACGGCTGTCCACCGAACCGCCATTGTTGCCAATCTTGCTGTTTTTTCGGGGAGCACATCTGTGCGTGGCGATGTTCCACATGTTGTTGTTGTTGTTTAAAAGACACGGACCGTGCCCTTCCAGCAGTCAAAAACCGGGCTAAGTTGTGTCTCCACGGCTAGCATTTGCATGGGATGGTCAGGTTGAAGGATGGCTCACGGTAGTTTTCGAAATTCAAGAATGGATGTCTCCATTCCTCCCCTCTGCGTGCCAGTTTAAGGTTACGAAATTGTGTTAAACGGCGGTGCGTCAAGTCTGCTGTTTCACGATCCGCACGATGTGGGCGCACTGCGTAACCCTCAGCTAGGGCTGCGGCGAACGCCCCCACCCGGGAGCATCTGGCGGGCTTACTTCAGTCCACAGTGTTGTCCTACGAGGCGCCGAAGATGCCGATGTGATTAGTGATATCGAGTACTCGAGTTGACCACAGAGAGCGAAGCACCACAGGAAGAACCTCTTATTTCTTTAAGATTACCTCACTGTTACTGGATGGATGACTGACTCTCACCGATTGCCATAAGCTACTGTCCGGCAATTTTTCAACTTCAGTCACGATCTGCAGTTCGCGTGGCCATATTCTAACAGCTCTGAACTTGCTTTTTAGGGTTGATCGCCAGGCGGCATTGCGAAATGCTGTTCTCCCCCTGTTGGGTCATCCAGTTGCGAAGATTCGTCGCCTCGCCGCCGACGTTCTCACTACCTTCTTATCACCCTCCACCTGCCCTCCTCTGAGTCCGCTACGGCCTCTGTGGATGACGTCTTCTACAGACCGTCAAGGGGAGGCCAATTGCATCCTCTCTTCTGGCCTCCCCCAGGCCCCCAACAGTCTCGCTAACATGTGCTCTGGGGATTTATATATGCTCAGTGCCTGGTTGAAAAATTCGCCTACGCAAACCGTGGCCGTGCATCGAGCAGGGTATATAAACGTATCCTTTTTCATGCACGTTACTTTGTCCCATGTTTATGTCCATGTTTTTGTTAGAAAAAGGGGGATGTAGAATGTCCCGCCCCATATATTCTTTTGTGAATTGCCTCGTATAAAGAGGTAGCATACGCGACTGCTTCATCCTCGAACTGACAGCTGTCATGAACCAACTGGCGCCAACTTATCACTGAGAAGAGCCCAGGATTAATGTAAATGGAACTGGACTCACACCCATAGACAAATCCGAGCTGTTGTCCTGACAACGTCCCTGTGTATGGCGGAGGCATGGTACGCGTAAGGAGGCTGGGCGAGAAAACTTAATCATTTTTGATTCAAATATTTCCAGATAATACTAGAATTAAAATGACCTACAGTGCTCCCAGACACCGAGATCCTGGGAAGAATTGGCGTCCATGGCATGCCGAGGCAGAGGCAGTTGCGATGTACTTGCCATGTCGTACGGATGAATGGCGAGCGCCTGCCCAAGATACGGGTGTTTGCAGTCAAGAGAGACAAAAGCCTCACTGCAAGGACACCTCAAAGACCACCCTCAAACACATGCAACTCAACCCTGGAATCTAGAAGACCCGCTTGAGATTGTCAGGCATAGCGCATTGCCGTGAGAGCTAGAATCTCCAATCTACGAAATCTGTCGTATAAAAAAGTTTAAAGTGAATGGGGGTCACGCAACTCTCGAATAACACGGACCAACACAACAACCACTTAATACCTGCTATCATGTCCGTATCGCCAACTGACGTCTACAGCATGCATCGAACCCGTCCGACACCTTCGATGTCACCGTTTAAACAGCCCAGCAAAATCCGCCTGCCTTGCAATTCTTACCGTCACCAGTAATACAGACTCAGCTCCAACCTGTCGCACCGTGTCTGTCTAACAGAGTTCTTAGATCCCCAGCCGGTCACACACGCCTCACCTGTCCACATTGCCCAAGGACGTCCATCCGTCTTTTCATAGCAGCGTTGACACAACCAACGGACGTCCCACACCACCGCCAACTCCGAAAACACGGCATTTCGATCGTCGTTTCCGACGATGTCCAGTGTGTGCGCCACAGCAGGGTGAATCAGGCACGGTGACTTGTGCGTGATTCACTTTATGATGGGAGTAGAATTGCACACCACCGCACTCTCACGTCTCCCACCCGAGCCCGGTGTCAAGACAGAGTCAAAAAAACCGGAGGCGCGGGGGGGGCGCAGGTGGCTGGCACGGTCGAGCCCGCACCTTGGCGCTCAACTAAACACCCCCTGGTCCATTCAGCAAACGACCGGGATGTTAACCAACAACAACAGAAGGGGCTGACGCGGCCGTAGTCGCACCTAGACGTGCCGCAAGACCTGGCTTAAATCCCGTAGAATGAGAGTGCCATAAAGTCCACATTAAGAAGAAGCCATTGCAGCCTGACCCTTAAATCACCAGTCGGTCGCTCCATACAACACCGAACCGACAGCGAGGTCCAAGTTATCCCGTCGGTTGGCAACCTTCCAAGCCACGGCTTTTAGCTTACCGTGATAGGTTCAAACGCGTCAGATTGTTTGTAGTTAGGAAAATGCGCTGGGTCGTCGACCTCACTCTCCTTTCCCATTCGCAGGTCCAAACCACTGCTCGAGCTGGTCAGTAGACGGGTGCGAGGAATGGGCGTGATGGCTGACATATCTAGTGACCTTGTCTGCGCACGCCATATACACGACCTGGTCCCCAAACACACACTAAGATTTCACACAAGGGGGGTTGGGTGGCGTACATCTCACATGCGTGAAAGTGCCGTAGGTCACGTTGGAAGGGAGCCGCTTCAGCCTGGCTCTCAGCCCACCAGTCCACCACTCCACATAAACACACGCAAAACTGGACAGACTGCGTGGGCTGAGTTTGGGCGTCAGTCAGCAACCTTCCAAGCCACGACGTTTGACGTACCGTGATAGTCTCAGACGCGAATCACTCATACAGCAGAGGGGCCGCGTGGGGACGGAGCTGAGACGCACGATTCCCACTTGCGTGAAAGGTGGCAGTTGAATGCTTGTGGTTGGTGATGTGCGTTACAGGTGAGGGAAGATGTAATGTTGTGGTGTAGCCGGCGGTCGCCCACCGCAGGCTTTCGTAAATGCGCATGTAGCCTAATAGGCCCATGAGGTGAGTGAATGTGCGGGTGCAGTGAAGACAGATGAGGCCGGTTCGGCGATTGTATGTTGGTGCTCCAGGCATTGATTCGCCGGTCTCTGTGTGTTCGTTTCTCAAGTGACCGGCCAGGCCGATGTGTGAGTTGAAGGTATGGGAGCAGCCTGAGCACACATGTGAGTCGGTCGCACTGATACCGGTGAACCGGTATGAGGAACTTCAACATAATCAGTCTTCACTCCTGTTTCACTTACGCACACCGACCCAGACATTCCTTCATCGCATGAGACTACTCGGTCAGATCCGCGCTTACGAGAATCTTCAGTAGAAACACTGCCCAGACCCGCAACACGAAGCTTCATCCAACCCAAAGCACTATCTAGACCCTATCACCATATCCTGCCCTACCTTCACGCACACACCTCTACGCTACACGAGCCTATTCCACAACATGCTCATACTCAACACCTTTCCGCAACACACCCTACACCATCACTTCTGCAGCATGTGTGCGCTTCGTTTTGTCAGCATCGGTATTGTGGGCGAAACGTCCCATGCCAGAACATGTACATGCATCTCGTTTGAGAGGAAATCAGGTCCTTTGATGTAGCCCGGCCCATTAAGCGGGAACCAGGTTGTGTATGACAAGCTGTTTAGCCGTTTAATTTGCGGATGGGAGAGAGTGAGGCCAACACTGGAAAACTCATCCTCATGGCAAATCAGACTATTCCTTGTTTTTATAGATCTGACAGACTTGAATCCGACACGACGCACCATCAGTCGTGGATTAGAAGTCTGCCAACTGACAGAGTAACTCGGTCCCTCTCAGAACTGAGCGTCCGGCTTCAACGGCTCCTTAATGTGGGCCACACGATATTCTCACATATACGAGTTCCGAACCGCTAGTATTGTAGCTTGGTGCACATGTGGCGGTATTTTGGGGCACACTTAGACGGGCCGTATAAATTTGCCAGTCACTGCTCCTATCCTCCACCTCCGTCTTACGTTTCCTCACCACCCGAACATGGTAATTGAGTAGGATGGAGTGATGCACATGCTTCGCATGTTCGCTCCTCTATAAACTAATTCATACGCAAGTCGCTGCTTCCGGGCTCACCTCGTGCGATGTCGCTTGCAACGTTCAAACTGTCGTTAAAACGATGAATCCCAGAGCGTGTGGAATTGTTCTATCAGGGCCTCACGGCCGAACTCGCCTCTACTCAGGGTTGGGGGTCAGCGTGCAATGAGGAGTCGGTAGCCTCAGTACTTTTTGAGTCGGAAATATCGCTGCGGTCAATTTGCTGCAAATTACAGTCGAGTCTGTCGTAAAAATCACTTGTCAAGTTTGCTGCCCAAGCAACAGAGCTGTTTAAGAAGCGTCGGAAACTTCAACACTAAGGCGGCGACAGTTCAACCGCCATTTCCGAGGATGTCCCCCCCCCTCTGTGCTCCGCAGCAGGGTGGGAGGAGGGACGGCCACCTGCGCATGAATTAGGTTATAATGATTATAGACTGGCGCTGCGTCTACCCTACCTGGGCCCAGTGTCAAGACAGAGTCAAGAGAACCTGAGATCGGAAAGGGCACAGATAGCTGGCACAGCGAAAACTCACATCTAGGCGTACCACCGCGCACCGTTGTCAACATCGTGCAACTGACCAGGATTTTACACAACAAGAGAATAGGCGGGGGCGATTTAAATCCCAACTGGCGCGACATAGGCGTGCCATCCCTCTCTATCCCTCCCACCCAGAATGAATATTACGCTCGAGTATTTTTACGTAGAGGTGCCTCAAATAGTTGTTGGTACACGTCAAGAGAGGTCGTCATACAACCTTTGAAAGGAAAGTAGTGGCAGGTAATGGCTGTCTGGTAAACTAGACTTAAATGGAATTGAGTAAGAAAGATGGAGACTGGTCGAGCACCGGAATCAGTTGTTTATTTTCCTGAGCTTTCGAACTCGTCAGAGATGAACTCAGCTAGAGAACAAGAAACAGTCATATGGGTGGATGGGAGGGACAATCAACGACCAGTGCCACAAGTATAAGTATGACTATGCAGGACCGGCGCCAGAGAAGTGCACCAGTGCCGATCCCTTTCACATGCCTATTTCGCTAAACCTAGATATAGTTTTTGCAGTCATTATGTATGACTGTGTGGTTTGATCAACCCCTGAAAAGCCACCAAACAATCTTGGACTGCTTACCTTTTAGGCAGTTCAACTGGGACTCTGCTCTCAGTCTACTGAGGCAGTGGATATCACAGCGGTCCGATAATGGTAGCCGACGGTGTTTATGGCTTTTGGCTGCCAAACTGGTCCATCTCATGCGGCAGGTCTTTAATCTGACTCCTCCTGCCTCCTCTGTTTGTGACAAGGTGGTCACGTTCTGCCAGTCTGTCGTAACTGCGGCTGACTATCCCCTCGGCTACGTCAGCCAGGTAAGTCAAATGACTGTTTTTGAATCCAATTAATAAATTAATCTCATTTCTTAAATCGAGCTTACCATTCATAATCCTGTCGCATCTTCCTGTTTTCTGCCAGCCACTTTTCACTGAGTTCCATGTGGCTTTTATGGAGTTTTGTCAGTCACTGGATCGTCTTATCGTCGACAGTGGCAGCGCCGTATCTCTCCGAAGCCTCGTCGGCCCAGTCGGTGGGCAGGGTAGGGATACTCTGGGCACGCACCTGCTGACCTCTGAAAGGCAAGTTCGGCTCAACTCGACTGAGGCACTCCTACAAGGCTGTCCGTCCTCATATGCCTTTTTCGGTGCCCTGATTGAAACATGGGCACAGGAGACCCTCCACCACGCTCGGCACCAGCGGACTCTGAGTGCTGAACAGGCCATCTGTCTGCTGGAGTTACTCTCATCTGATTGGCCAATTGCGATCGGGAGTGGGCAGCTAACCAAAACTCAGAGCGAGTCTCTGTTGGCCGATGTCTTGGTGTGCGCAGCTTCTTGCATAAACCGAAGTGACTGTAGAAACACCAGGTAGGAGCCCCCCCCCTCCCAGTTATTAGCATTAATTAGTTTAAAATCACTAGCACTTTGTCGATGTAAACTGAAAGAACGCCAGTCATAGGTCCTCTTTTATAAACATTAGACCTCGCCTCACCGCTGCGAAACAAGTTCCCCCTTTAACATTCCCGGCTGTTTTCGGCTGTCGGAAGGACGGTGGTCATCGACTGGGACCATTCATTTGAATGTGCGTGTGCTTTTGAATGTAAATACACCAACTAGTGAAGGCAATTTTGTTGAATGTACCAAAAAAGACAAAGGTTAATAAAGTCGGTTTTGCTATTTTTATCTGTAGTTGATAGCGAATTTTGAGAGCCTTTTTAAAGATGCCCAAACTTCTTAATTTAGTCAAAGCAATCGGCTTCTTGTTGCTTCTGAACGTTATATAATTCACTTCGGATACTTTTCGTTTCTATCAAACCTACCAACACTAAATATTCTTTCTATGGATCTGAAAAAACTTCATTTTAAAATTTCGGCTTATTGCCGTCCTCAGTCATTGTGTCCACATTTGTTATAACTTAAGAGAGCCCATTTGACAATCTCATTCTTTTGGAAACACTGAATGAATTGCGTTTCTGTAACCTTTTTGAAATATTTGTTGTCCTGGTTTCGAAGGGTTCGGAGAAAGCGCTGTTGAGCTTGATAGTAATATAAAGCTCAAAGACCAACTAAGCCCTACAGTTAAGGTGAAAGGCAGAAGCTAGGTGCCAAAACTGTCTTCCCATCCAACTACGATATCCTTACCCACACGGGATTTAGAGCACTGGTGTTAACTCTATTTAAGCCTTTTTCACATGCGCCTTCCAGCCGGTATCTTGTGTCAAATGATTTCTATGCAGCTTGATATTTTAGGTAAGTCTTGTTCGATCGCTTAATTGATAGGGGTGAATAAACGGAGAATATAATGTCTACGGGGTTTTCGTTACCGCAATTAATACTTTTTCCCTATTTCCAAACGATTCGTCTCCTCTGATGCGAGCAAGAAGCTCGTGTGCCATTTTACCAAGTATTCGGAATTCTTGGGAACTCACCATAATTTACACTGCCTTTATTGGCAGGTAAAATTGAAGTTTGCATTTTGACTAAGCCTTCGCCATAGAGCGCCTGGGCGTCGGTAGTGGACTGCGTGAGGGCATGAGTACACCCAAGCAGGCTGTAAAGGGACTTTTATGGACCAATAGGAACGCTCTCCTCTACCCTCCCCCTCCCTCACCGAAATCCCAAAATGACTCCAGCGACAAGTCTGTGGGGCAACTGATTTTTTTGAGAGTCAGAGTCATTTTTTGGCTTGAGCTTGCTCAAGTATCACTACTTGGTTGGTCGTTGTCCCCAAACCTCATGTCTCAGCCACGCTATTGCGGGCAATGCGTGGGGACCTAGTAAAGGCCTTTTAATCCTTACCCATATTTTACTCACCCCTCTCCCACTCAACTCTCCTAGTTGTCATTTTAGGAATTATTTGGCCTGGTGGATCTCAAGCCTGGAGTTGTGTCTCTCTGCCGGCGCGCCCGTGAGAACGCGAACCACCGCCGCAGCTGCCATCCTGGTGTGGCTTATGAACGAGGATGTCAGCGGCGGTTCGAGATCCCGCCGAAAATTCTGTTCACTGACGACTGACGAAAGGGCCAAGTAAGTGTCTGATTCGCCCTTCCACCATTAATGTAGTGCGCTCTAAACTGACCAGTCGAAGGCTCAATGCCGGGCCGTCAGTTGATTTTTGGTCCACGCCTAATTTTGACCAAGAAAGTGTTTGGGGGTTTAGTTGGCACCTCTTATGAACGCTAGCTTCATCCTGGAAAATGAAGATCGGCAGAAGCCCAACAGGCAGCCACAGTGAGAAATCCTCTCTAGGTGGGTCGGGTACAACGGGATGGCGGTTTTGAGGGGAAGAACGGGCGGGGCAAACGGCAAAGGACACTAAATTGGCAGATAGAAGCCGAAAAATGT